TGGGAGCTCGAAGCCTTTTGGCCCCGATTTCTGGGGCGAGCTCGGCCTCTAATGTCCGGAGGCCCCTGCTTCGGAAAAAAAAGCCTCAGAAATCATCAAGCAGACCTCGGAACCCCAAGTCCAAGCTCACGAAACTGTAACTTGGAAAGACCTGGAATCCTAAACCCTAAACCTGCAGGAATCGGATCTGGGAGCCCCCTGACAGGGCTCTCGGCGTCATTTTGGCCTGGGGCCTAGGCCTAGGGCCCTCCTCACGTCCCGACCTGCGTCTCCCTGGCGGAGGTCTTCAGAATGAGGACGGTGTTATTTAGGCTCACTACGGGGTCCTCCGGTTAAGAAAACGAGCTGTAGTCTAAACTCCTATCATCCCCCCTTTAAATGTCCCCTACAGTAATCCCTTATATAATCCCCTTTCATAACCCCCTTTAGGGAGTTAAGACACACCCAAAGGAAGATGCACCGCCTGGTGGGCCACGTCTGGGCGAAAACCGCCCGCTCTTCGTTGTCTCCTTGGGCAAGTCAGGCATTCAGGGGGAGAGTTTGAAAGAGTTCGGGGTGCAGGGTTTCAGGGGTTTTGGGGTTTAGCGGTTTAGGCTTTAGGAGCTTAGGAGTTTAGGGGGTCTTGGACTGATGGTTCGGTGTTGAAGGTGTAAGGCTTTGGATCTAGCCGAGAATCCGAGCGCTCGAGAATCCGAGCGCTACTATCCAGTGCCCCTCAGTTTTGCTCATGTCTCCGATGCCTCGCATTGCTTGGCGTTCAGAAGCCATCCTGCACACAAATAGATCCAAACCCCAACACCCTTAAACCGTCAGCTAGGCTTCAACATTCAACTCCAGGGAAAGACGTTTTCGAGAGGCCGCCGCCAGTCTTGGAAGGCTTAAGGTTTGGGTTTCAGGGTTCGGGATTTTGGATGGTTCTTCACAAGACTGCAACTTCCATGAGGCCTTCTGAACGTGAGCCCCTAATAAAGATCCCTGAACAAGGACCTTCATAAGGACTTCATTGCTTACTAAGGACGCCGAAGGAAATCTTAATGAGGATCTCTTGACAAGCATACCTTCTTAATGAGGAACCTTTGATACGGAACCCTGAACCCTGAATACCCGGCAGTAGGCAAAATCTGACGCGAAGCACTGTCAAGCTAAAATAACTTGACGGATTTCCGGCGTCATAAAAAAACTCATAGAACCCGTACAGACCCTACCTAGACTCCTTTACGGGGCCCCCCTGGCCCCAAACCCTCAAGCCTAAACCGCAGGAGCCAAGGGCCCCCACCCAAACCCAGGGCCGGAAAGCTACGCCTTCTGGGCTTGAGCCACAGACCGACGGAGTGGCAGAGCAGTGTTTGGGCCGTGTCCGTCTCTGGAGCTACTGCTTAGCACCATGTTCAGGGCTTGGCATTACGCATGCGGAATTGGGGCTTCCCGGGTTCAACTTTTCAAGGCCAGGCCTGGATAGTTTGAGGCCGGCGATTGTGAAGCAGAAGACGCCTGATGCACGACTCCGATCTGCCATCTGTAGCATGGGGGACCGCAATGATTACAATAGGGTTTTGTGGGGTATTGTACAATATAAATATGAAGAACATCAAGGAATAACATCACTAGCTATTCCGACCCCTATATTACACTGAACCCTACAACCGTTCAAGAGCTGCCTTGAAGAAGAGCCTTGGTGTGTTCAAGGTTCAGGGCTTTATCGTCTAATTTCTATTATTTGATCAACATTCCTTAATTGATCCAGGAACGAAGCCTCAAGGGAACAAACTGATGCGTTGAAACAGAATTGTAGCCGACGAAGGCTTGATAACACCTTTCTGCAAATCTTGATGCCCCATCTAAACTGCTTTGTTTGCTAACCGTAGCGCCGTAAAAGATCTTTCATCTTGCTGGATCTAAGGCGTCTTCGCGATGTTGCAGCTTAGCAAGCTCGTGGACGAAAGCTTGCAGGAAGCAAGCGGCCAAAAGCGACTCACTAACCTTGTCGACCAAAGGCGACTGGCCGCGATGGCACATCAGAAGCAGCCAGGGGTCCAGCTGATCAACATAACTCATGCGCTCAATGAAGCAGATTTACTGCTTCTGCCTTGAAGGACCGAATGGCGGTTTTCATCTTTCATTTCTTGGGCAGCATGAAGTCGGGCTGTGCCAAGTGCTTGCGTACATCATCCGGCATCTTCGGATGGCAGCTGGCAGGGAAGTCACCACCGAGAAAAGGTTGCTTTCAGAAGCCCCCACCCTGCGCGCCGTGTTTCCGTTAAACAGCGTCAGGTTCTCGAAATATCCAAGGTGACCAGCTTATCGTTGGGAAGAGCTTTGAGATTCGTAGACTTGTCGTCCTCCAGCCATACCAAAAATGCACCGCCCCTGAACTAGCCGAAAGCCTTGATCAACGGTACTGCTTCCGTCGCGGTGCCGCTGCGCTGCATTGTTGCAGCTCAAGTTCAGGATCGCGCTCTGGCTGGAAGTGCTTCGCCTCCTTGGGAAGCTTGCCCTGCAACCCCTAAACCCTAAACCCCCACGTTTGGGTACTCTCTGGCCGGGCCTGTCACGATCAGCGTTCCACCGCGATCACGCAAGTAGCCCTTTGTGTCGCGGCTCCACCACGGCCAGGCCGGTGGCATGACATTAGACCCCTGAACGGGTTCTTGGCGAATGCCCAGCACTTGAAAGTCCTGCTGATGTCATCGCTGCTGATTGCTCGTTTCTTCTTCTTCTTCTTCCTCTTCTTCTTCTGCTTCTTTTTCTTCTTCTCCGCTTGGGCCATGATCTCCCCCGCATTGCGATTGGAGACCAAACGGTAGGCTCTCATCCGGATTCAGTGCAACCCTTCCCCAAGCGCAACTGCCCCTTGTCGAGGTTGCACCAACTGCAGAGCTCCCTAAACCCTAAAATCAAACCCTAAACTCCCGCATGAACCAGTGCATGATGGCTTTGTCAACATCTGTCAGCTGCCATTCGTGCTCGACCTTGCTGCCAAGCGGCTCCTCGCGGACATGGCCGCCATCCCGTCGAACGGGCTTATCCGGGTCGCATGTTCATAGCACCCAAACCAAAGGCATGCTGGTAGAGGAACAAGACCTCGGCACCGACGCCAGAACGGGTTTTCCTGCACGTCTTCGCAGGCCGCGTAAATGCGACCTTCCTTCCTGTGAGCTTCAGGATGTTCGATTGGTTGCAGGGCCCGGATCCAAGCACCTGAAAAAATCGCAGATCCGGGGGATGGGAGAGGATCCCAAGACCAGGCTCTGACTGGCCGTCTTTGCCTGGGAATACCCATCTCATAGCGAAGGTTGGGGGTCCGGTACTTGATCTATAGGTGTCCTTCGTCCGCCGAACCCAACGAGCTCAAACCACGCCTCGCGGATTTTTGAGCCACGGCCCGGCCTTTGTCGTCTTAGGGAGCCAGGGATGCGTCTTGTGGCCGCGGATCTTTGCAGAGCTTTGGGAGACCAGTCTGCTCCTTCTCATCTTCTTATCACCTTCTCTCCGGCGTCACCTTCCTCGGCGCCATGACTTCGAGCTATACTCGCCAGCAGTGTTGGACTCCCCCGTAGCTGGGGAGCACATAACGGAAAAGTGCCAAGGATGGGGCTGTCGGGCTGTCTGCATTGTGGGATGAGGCCACGGCCACGGCTTGCGCATGCTTTTGAAGCACCGGCAAGACGGAGAGCTGTTTCTGCATGTCTGCCTCGCATCAGTGCTGCACCAAACCTGCCCGCACACAGCCCCGTGTTCTGTGTTGAAGTTCTAGGGAGTAGCAGGGCTTCACAAAGAGTTTGCTCTCTGCAACGACTGCGCCCACCTACCTATTGCATGTGGCAGCGGGCGGGTTTTCGGATCAGGGTTTAGGCTTCAGAGATTACGGTTTACTGTGCTTGGTATCAAGGTTTGGGGCTTAAGGTTTAGCCTGCCCTGCACTCTAGATTGCTGCTGTCAAAGGTCACAGGCGAGTGCAGCTTCAGGCCGGCTTGGAGGGAGAAGCTTTGCTTGGGAAGCTGGAGATGACAAAGATGAGCAGAGAGCTATCACGCGTGACATACAGTGTTGTCCTCTGACCCGCCATGTCCCAGCATAACTGACACCATGGCAGTTTAATGCGACTGTCGGCGAGAAGGACCGCACCTCGAAGCTAAAATAAGCTAAATACGCTTACCGGGCTTACCGGCTTACCACACAAGCTCCTCGCACCGTGCAACGTCCTGAAATCCGCTTGCAACAGCAATGCATCATCAACGGCACTCCTCAAGACCGTAAATCTTCCAGAGTACCGCAGCAGCCGGAGAAACCCGCCTCCCGCTTGTCCTTTCGGCATGCCTCGCACTGTCAGTCGGAATGCGAATCAACAATCTACAACTTGAAGCAGATGGAGTGCTGAGGGCACAAGACCTCACCAAGCAAGGCCGCATTGCAAAGTTGACGCAACACCCGGCACTTTTCTCTCATCACAGTAGTTGGCAGGAATTGGTATGGACCTCTGCCGGACCTTTGAAGGGGCGGCTGCACCAGATAAGGTACAGGTGCCAGAAGTGCTTTTGCCCTTCCACTATAGTGCACCCAACCACAGCCGCGGCTATGTTGTGGTGGGTTTTAGACACAAAACAGCGGCTGAGACAGCATGAAAAGTCAATGCGCCTTGAGCTTGCATCATGTTGCATGGCAGCAAAAGCTTTGGGCCTACGAAGAGCCAACGGGCTGGTACGAACTACTAGAACGAACCTGATCAAGAGCGCAGAAAAGACTCCGTTGCCGTTGTAGACTGCACCCAACCACACAGTGATGGGTTTTGTAGGCAGAAAAAAACGGCGGCTTTGACAGCCTGAAGTGAAAATCACTGCCTTTGAGTTGCATCATGTTGCATCAACAAGGAAGCTTTGAGCGAACCAAGAACCAGCGCAGATGATAGGACAGGAACAGTCTCACGAGCGCAGACAGGTGTCATCAACACAGGCAGAGATGCAGAAAAACAAAACTTGCTGCACAAGCTTGCAGGGCCGAACCTCCGAATTGCACGGCATGGCTTATGTCGAGATTCTCCGTAGCAACCGTGGTCACCGACGTCGTCGCAGTGGCCGTGGCCGTTTGCGAAGTGGCAGTCAGGGTCTCGGTTGTCGTCTCTGTGGTAGTGGCCGTCACTATCGTGGCCGTCATAGTGGTGGCTGTCAACGTCGTGGCTGTCTCCGTCGTGGCCGTGACCGTCACCAGCGAAGTCGTGGTGGTGGTGGTCGCGAGGATGCTGACCACAGTGAGCATGTCGGTGTCGTGAGCCACAATCAACGCGTAGCCTCCGACGATCGCAATGCCTCTGGAACCTTCGAAGTGCGGGAGGCTTTCCGTGAACTCCACGACCGTGAGATTGTAGGGGTCGCTGATGTCGACGACGGCCAGGCCATCATGATCATTCGTCGTCACGTAAGCATAATTCCCCACGACCTGAAGCTGCCTGGCATCATCAAGGCGATCGTCGTCTCGGAGGAAGTGCGCAATGGACATGTTGCTGGGGTCAGCAATGTTGATCGAAGCCACGCCGTGCTCTCTGTAGCAGGTCATGAACACCCAGTCCCCGACAACCTGAAGGCCCCGCACTCCATCAAGCCGGCTGTCCTTGATGGTGCCAGCAATGGTGAGGTTCCGCGGGTCTGCAATGTTGAGAACGGTCAAGCTGTCCTCCGAGTAGGCACTCACATAGGCGTAGTCCCCAACGATCCTGGGTTCTTGTTAAAGGAACTTAGTGTAAGTTACCATAATCGGGATCTATAATACATAATTGGGTTTCCTTATATTGGTAACTCAAATTAAACCCCTTAGCAAGAACCCAGGATCACAATCTGCTCGGCTCCGTCGAGACTGTCATCTTCCAAGAAGCTTACGACGCTGAGGTTGCTGGGGTCACTAATGTCCACGACTGTCACCCTGTCTTCTTCGTATGCTGTCACAAAGGCATAGTGCTCGGCAATCGCGACGTCTGTGGCCCCATCAAACTTGTCATCGTCCTGGACGAAGCCCACAATGGTGGGATTGCTGGGGTTGCTAATGTCAACAGCGACCAGGCCGTCGTAGTCGTTGGCGGCCACATAGGCATAGTTGCCAGCGATCGCAAGGCCCTCGGCACCATCCAGCTTCTCTGCATCATGAACGGCCCCGTGTAGGCGTGGGCTCGTGGGGTTGCTGATATCGATCGCGGCAAGGCTACCCGCTTCGCCCGTGACGTAGGCATAGTCTCCAGAGACCGCAATGAACTCAGCTTGTTCGAGGAAGCCGAAAGCGAGGTCTGAGTAGAAGGAGGAAATGCTGAGGTTGCTTGGATTGCTGATGCTCACCACGACCAGACCGTCATCCTCTCCTGAAGTAATACAGGCCAAGTCCCCGGCAACTGCAATCTTTCGTTGGTCCGAATAGCTTGTGATGTTGCTGTAGATGGAGGGAGAGGTTGGGTTAGTAATGTCGACCACCGCGATTTTATTCTGGCACCCCACTGCATACGCATAGCTCCCAGCGACGGAGATGCCCGAGATG